TTTATGCAGTATAAGTTTTGGTTTTCTTTGTGATCTTGTGATTCTGATGTCTTGTAGAACTGCTCAGCCACTAAAGGGAGTCACGTCAGCAGGACCGGACCTCACCCTGAGTCTGTAGACTGGAGGACGAAGGGCAACTTTGTGACTCCTGTGAAGAATCAGGTGCGTGAGATGCACGAGAAGCTGTCCTGGTTAACGGCAGAGGCAAAACTATAAGCTGATGTTCATGCATAAAGTTTTGGCAGAAAGAGAGCCCAGATTTTTAACTGAAAAATTATTTTTTGTTGTTGTAACAATTACGTGACTTGCAAAGTGACGTCAAGTACTTTGTCTTCTCCAGGTCTGATACCAACTTCATGAAAAGAACTATTGCTTACAGAGGAGTAAAGCATGGAATTCACTTTCTTTACATATCAGAGCACTAAAAATATAAGCTCTTCAAAGAGGAAAATAAAGGGACAATTGGCACAGAATACTTGAGTATTCTTCTTCTGTATTAGTTTCATATTAACAGTGTTGTGTCAGCGTTCCTTTACTGCTTTGCACTGGGTTGCATTATATAAGTAATATAATATAAATATATAAATGTTTGCTATTTATTACGTATTTTTTAATGTTTTATAAATTGTAATTTTGATTTTTACCCTGGGGCCCAAGGAAGACTAGCAAACACTTTGTGGGAGCTAATGGGGATCCTAATAAAGAATAAAGGTACCCTCATACAGTACTGACAAACCAAAGTAGCACCGACGTAGAACAAGAATTTGGTCATGGCACAGCAAGTATTTATTAATATACATGTCAAGCTGTGTTAAAGGCTGACTGATCTCCATATTTTCCTTTCTTAAAGTCAGAGTCTAAGATATTGTGACACATTATTTTCTCTGATTTACAAAGCTTTGCCAGACAACTGTTTTCATTACCACTCAACCTTCAAGTGTAAAATTAGTGGAGTGCACCTTTTACACAAGTACATTTGTACTTGTCTGAGCAGCGTGGTGTTTGTGTTTTCAGGGTAACTGTGGCAGCTGTTGGACCTTCTCTACCACTGGTTGTCTGGAGTCAGTAAATGCCATCGCTACTGGGAAACTAGTATCTCTGGTGAGACCTTAATATGTGTGAACTAATAGACACTGTTTTGAAATATGAAGAGTTCATGTGCAAAAACAGATAACTCCATTTTTGTAGAGTTTCAGAAAACTTTTTTTGTTGTTGTTTGCTTGAGATAATATCAATCAAACTGAAGTTGAGTGGATTAGACGCAGTAGTAATGACATGACAAAAACAGAGATAACATAAGTTGGATATTGTCTCAGGTAGACGATGGAAAAGTAGGTTTTCTGAAAGTTTGTGAAGATTGAGTTATCTGTTTTTGCAAATGAACTCTTTATATACTTGCAGAAGAAATTACTGCTATAAAATTTAGAATGTCTAGTCATTTGCATAATGAAAATCATCACTACTGTATGGTGTTTAAATACATGATGCTGTCTGTTCATCCCTGCTTCAGTCTGAGCAGCAGCTGATAGACTGTGCCAGAAACTTTGACAACTATGGATGCTTGGGGTAAGAATCATACATTTATTATTAGTATTTAGACTACAGCAATAACTTTTGATCAATTAAAAGCTACCTGGTTTGTTACAGTGGGCTCCCCAGCCAGGCTTTTGAGTACATCAAATACAACAAAGGTCTCATGACAGAGGAGGACTATCCCTACAAAGGCCACGTATGATCTTGAGAATAAAGTCTTACTGTATATTAAGTATTAAGAATACATATTTGGAATAAAAGTAAATACGTGTTATCCTTCCTGCTTTAGGATGACACCTGCAGTTTTGTTCCGACGCTTGCAGCTGCTTTTGTTCGAGATGTTGTCAACATAACAGTTGTGAGTCTATGAACATGTGACATTACAATGTGGAAGAAACTGTACATTAGTTATGCTATATGAGTGTTCAGCAATACATTACAGCCTCACAAATCAGTTACAGTTAAACATGTTGTCAGTCACCTGATTTAGGGGAAAAAAACAAGAAGCAGCTCCTTCGTGCTGTTTGGAATTCCCAGTAAAGGTTCATTTGCTCTGGTTATCATGTTACTATGAATGCATTAACTCTGCCTCTTTCCTTGTTAAAAATGTTTGTCCATCTCCAGTATGATGAAAAGGCCATGGTTGAGGCTGTGGCCTCGCTCAACCCCATCACCTTCAGCTTTGACGTCACAGCTGATTTTATGCACTACAAGGAAGGAGTCTACTCCAGGTGAGACATGGACCTCAATAACTTAACACATGCATCTGTATTTATGATTGTCCACAAACTACACTTAGTCAGGCGTGTTCAGAGCAGTTCATCAGGTTGGACTGTACCACTTTTTTTCTGTTCCTTTTGCACTACGGAAAAAATATAATACAATAATGGGATTTCTGCTGTGTAATCCACTAATACAGAAGTTATGTTTTTTGAAAGAGGATTATGGGAATAATGACGCTACCAGCAAAATCTGCAGAAACCAGAATTTTAGCTGATGGCTATTTTAGGAGAATAGAAAAATCTGCTTGTACCCTTATATTTAAAAAAACCCAACATATTTCTGACTTTGTCAGAAGAAAAAAAACTTCCCCTACATCTATGTTGTCAGAATATACTTGCACGTTTGCTGTGATGTCCATATTGGTGTCAACCAGGATAAACTGCCACTAAGTGGAACATGTATATTCATGAGCTGACTACTGCCATAATATGATTTTTTATTGTGTAAACCATTACGAGTGCTTGTGGTTCAGTCTGCTTTCTGTTTCTGTCATAATTGCACTGATGTTGAACTGGTAGAGGCAAATTTTAAGCTTGTGAATGTTTGGATGTAAAAAATGTCTGCATAGATTATTGAAAGAGGCTAGTCGCTCACTATTGATTGAGTGTTGTCTGTTTAGCACCTGGTGTAAGAACACATCAGTCAGCGTGAATCATGCGGTCTTGGCTGTGGGTTATGGGACTGAAGAGAACGGCACGCCGTATTGGATTGTGAAGAACTCTTGGGGCACAGCCTGGGGGAAGGACGGGTAAATATAGTCTGTGTGTATTTCAGTGCTGTGACTTGGTGCTGCTTTCAAGCTTCATTGACAGCTTTCTTTTTTATTCCATCAGATATTTCTTGATTGAGCGGGGAAGAAACATGTGCGGATTGGCTGCATGCTCTTCCTACCCTTTACTTTTAGTGTGAGGAGTAACAAAGAGGGAAAAACTCAGGAAAATGTCACCCAGGGGCCCTGTTAAAGGACTAAACCTGCCTGGACGTGTTCCCTGAAGTGTTTCGTATAGCCTCTGAAGGTCTGAACTGAATTAAAGGGGCCCTTAAAACCATTTCTGGAAGTCCAATTTCTCAACAGCATCCTCTTGTACAAATTTCAAGCCAAATACAAGAAGAAGGAGGTGTGTCAAGAACTGCCATTTACAAAATAAATGAAGGGACATGAGCTTCACTTCAGTACAATCACAAAGAGATGCTTTCCGACTGCATTCTTGGACATTTCGATACGGTGCATTGCACTTAAGTTCTAAGTCATGGCCTGTTAAACACGTAGAAGCAAACATGACAGAGAGTGTGACCTAAACAGGCTGTCTGTCATGATGACGCAGCTTATGTTCCATGCATCAGAGCAAAACACCATTTTCCATTCATTCTGGCTAATAAAAATAAATCAGATTTCCTCAGTGCAGCCAGGGATTACTCATGTGCATCTGGGGAGCAACTGGGGATGGTGTGGAGCACAGTTGTTTTTCATGTATCTTTTGTACACAATATAAATGTAGTGATGCTCTTTTAGACAGTTATCGATAATAACTGTGCTTGTACATACATTTGAACATCAGTTTGCAGGACTTCAAGAAACAGCATTGAGGAAAACAAGTAAACTCTTATGACATGCCCACTGAAGGGCAGACATCCACTGTATGGGAGCTCATCCATGATTGAATGGCATAATTTTTACTGAGTGGCTCTAGAGAAACAAAAAAATGTCCTGCAAAGTGAAGATGCTTTAATGACCTGCTCAGCTTCAACAAACTCTGCTGATAGACATGCACTTAAGGCTTATTATGGAGTCAGTTGTTTCCATTTTTCTGTGTTATCAATAAACAAATTTCTACCGTATACACTTGGGTCGTTACATTCTTTTTTGGCAGTATGTGTCCGTTAATTGATATTATTTAACTTATTGGCTGATTTCTATGCATCAAAAACCCACAAGATGGCGACATTAAGCTAGCAGGAACTGAGGCTCTCCGTAAACTGTCAATCAATTTTTACGTCGCTCATTGGCTAATAGCAGCAGAGACCCGCCCCATGAAAGTGTTGATGTAAAATCCAACCAATGAACTACCAGTATTCTGTTTCACAACGCAAAGGGGGAGGGGCCAGTTACAAAACATTTCTTCCATGTGGCGCCAATGACTCTGCTCTTCCACCTCACAAACAGTCCAGTTATCTGCTGTGAGGTGCACTTGTCTCACCTTGTAGACTTATCTCGAACAAATATTCTCAATTAATATCGTAAAGGACAACAACATGGCGACACGACGAGCAAAACGTGGAGCTGTTGTTCAGGTAAAGTCTGTTATGGTGGCGTTTTAACTGCGGTTTTCTGGAACCTTCTTCCTGTCTGTGTCAGCTAGTTGCTGAATAGCGTTAAAATGAGCCACTCGAAGGGGGATAAACTGACTTAAAATGAGTTATCAGTAAGTTTAAAATTTTCAGGCACTATTTTAAGGAAACGTGGTGTGAGGTTTGATAACAGTTTGGGAAAGTTGAATGAGCGCTTCCTGTTAAGTTAATTATTGATAATGAACACCTTGAAGGAAATGACTCCTGTGAATCTGGAGGAAACATCCAGACGATCGTCCCGGACTGCTCTGGCACCGAAACGCCTCCAGTACTCTCCTGAAGACAGCACAGCTGAGACGACCCAGAAGAAAAGGGTGAGAGTCTCATGGGGGACGCACAGATGGTGATATTACTCAGCAGGTCGGTTTGTTTTGCATCGTTAATGTGCCCACGTTTTCATGACAGAAAACACAAACCCACGTCGAGGAAATCGTCCAGAATAAAAGACAAATTAAGGATGAAGAGGATGTTGAAAACAGTGATGTGGACCTTGCATCTGTAAGTACAAAAACTCTTTCTTTGAGTGAATGTCGTTGCAACATGTATAAAAATATGTGAAAAGGGACCAATATTCTCAAAACATATACGGTTTGTTAAAATTAAGGTGCTGGGATGTTTCTGCACATTGTCAGTGCTGTATCTTTGTGCAACAGGACGGACATGGAGGCCTTTCTGCCTATGAGCTGGAGCGCCTGGAGAACATCAGACAGAACCAAGCATTTCTCTCCTCGATCAACTTATTCCAGGTGGGTTGACAGATGAGGTAAAACCACATGAGTTGACCTTTTGTCAATAAAACCTGGGACACTGGGTTTTACACATGCATCATATTAAATCTGTTACTATCAGGGCTTTTCTTGGTTTAGAATGGACCTTAAAGGCATGACAGTAAGCATGATAAGATCAAGTACAGTAAAGGCAATGACTTTGTCACTGTCATGGACAGAAATCTCTTGATAAGCAAAAATTGTCTACTGTGCTTAAGCAAATAAAATCCCTATAAAACACCTTCAAACTCACATACATATATATTTGAAATTTTAGTTCTTGTATTATTTTGGTGATTTATCCCTTGAAACTGGTTAAAACCTCTTTGGGAAGTGCCAGAAATTCCTGTATGCAGGAAACCCTCTGATTTTGAATATTTAGTTATAGTTAATATGTAGTTTAAATCCTATTTAATTGAACTGAGAATAGATACAACAAACGATAACATGTACACAAGCAGAAGTCAGAACATTTAACTGGTAAAGCTTTACTGTAATCCACTTAAAAATAGTAAGGCAGCACAAAAAAAGGAACTGTACCAGTGTATTGAGAATGTATGTGTTTATATTTATCCTCATTAGGAGATATAAGATAATTTATTATAATATATATTTTAGGTTATGTTGGTCAGAGTTGTTTGTGTATATTTTGCACATATTGGGATGTATGCATGCACTCAGTTTACCATGGCAAGACATCAATTGTAGTTTTCTTTTCCAAAAGGCAACTGAGGAGTTCAAGAAGCTGACACGACCAAAGCCTTCACAGAGGGGTCTCATGAGGTATGTCTGGCTGCCAAACTGTTACTACTAATCTCAGAGTTATTGTAATACCTAGTGTAGTTTGTAGTGTAGTTTTAGTGTGTTGTTGTTGTTTTTAAAAAAAACATGTTTTCTGTGTCATTCATTGTCCTTCTTCTGTATAACCACCTCTGCACTGGTTTTGAGTTTTAACTTAACAGAGTAATTAATTGACTGGCAAAAGGAAAACATTTTCAGTAGTATCTGTTTTTAAATTCTTAAAAGTGAGTATTGACTTTTTTTTTTCTGTTGAATTTAATTTCATACCAGTGAAAGTTGATTTGTGTAGTTGAGCTTTGATTCACCGTGTTGATGGCTTTTTTCTGTTCGTTTCACTGATTTAAAAAAGTGTCTCTTTGACGTCACTGTAACGTTTAATTTCTGTGGTTGCAGGTCACAAGCTGCTGTAAAACAAGTGCTGCCACCTCGCAAATCCCTGCGTCTCCAAAATAAAGAGGCAGAAGTCTTGACACTTCCTCCTGAACCCAGAGGGAACCTTATCTTTGAACAGGTGCCAACATATAATTGAATAACGTAATGATGCCAGTGCCTCACTTTACACTACTGCTAGGTCTAAGTGTGTCTAGCTGTTCTTCTTGGTGTTCTTTCTTTTTTCTTTTGTTACTTATTTGGTTATTTACTTGGTTTAAAGTCTACTCCAGCTAAGAAGCCTGCTGGTCCTCTGCCCATGGATCCAGTCAACATGGAAGAGGGACATAAGCTGCCTTCACAGCTTCTTAAGCTCTGCTCTGAGGTAGGAGTCATATTTCTGTGGTATCATGTATGCCAGTCTCATGTTGCCAGTATGTGGTTGATACCACACTTTCTTTTCTCCTGATAACAAAGGGTGTTTTCATGGTTTGCCTTTGACAGTTGTGTCACCAGAATAAAAACTTAATATAAAAATATAAAATAATATAAAAATGTAAGGATATTTTGGAGATGCTTTGCCTTGAGATATGCCGTATCTTTGTAGGTGTCATTGTTGTTAAAAAGCACTAAGTAAATCCTAAAATTGCTTCTTCTTCTTTTTTTTCTCTCGCAGGACTCAACAGAAGACAGAAAACTGAAGCTTGATCTCAAAGAGTAAGATTAAAATTTTAGATTTTGATATCAGCCTACAGAAGCTCAGCTACTAAAACGTGACTGCTCCTTCTCTGAGGGTTGCTTTTGACTAATGTGTTGGTGGTCACATTTTTAACAAACAGCTGACAAAGTTTATACAGCTGGACAAAAATCTGCACTGTTGTCTTAACACAGGTACCGATCCGTACTTAAAAACATGAAGATAACGGAAGACAAAGTAGCCAAAGTGGTGAAGGATCGCATCTTCTCTGCAGCCTTCCACCCGTGCACCAGCAGCCTGTTGATGGCCGCAGGAGACAAGTGGGGGAAAGTGGGACTCTGGAAGTTGGTGAGATTTCTTAGCCCCAATTACAAATTAGTGTTTAACCACTAGAGGAAATAAAATGTGCTCAAAACAAACTCATAGGAGCAGGTCTGTATATCTTTGTATCAGCTTCGTAGATCTTACTGGTAAAAATCACAAGTGCTTTTCTCAAAGTTCTCTTCAGGATTTTTGGCTTGTTCCATTTTTAACTTCAGTTTACACTGATCTACTTTATGTTTGTCTTATGTCTTGCCTTGAGCATTTTTTAAAGTTTGCTGTTCACTGGATGTACATAAATGTTGTTGTAAATTTCACAACAGTTTGATTTCATCACATAAACTGTATGTCGGGACCCAGTTCGTTTATTTGTATTGTTTCAGGGTGGTGACTGGGGCGATGATGGTGTGCTGCTCTTTGAGCCCCACACTCGTCCGGTGGGCTGCATGGCCTTCTCCACTGCTCATCCCACCCAGCTGCTGAGCCTCAGCTATGACGGATCTCTGCGCTGCATGGATATAGAGAAGGCTGTTTTTGATGACGTAAGATACCTTTAATTCAATGAAACAACTGATAATTATCTTAGAATTTTATAAACATGTCAGACGACCAGCACATTTGCTCCAAATTTGCACCTTGTCTGGTTGAAATCAATCTGTTTGGACTGTAGTCAATATATACTAAGAGATTTATACATTTTAGGTGTATGATATTGAAGATGGCCTGAAAACTTTTGACTTCATGTCACATGACTGCGTGACGCTAGTGGTTGGGAACTGGTATGGAGAGGTTGCAATCGTTGATCGACGCACCCCAGGGTAAAGTATTATTATTGCCTTAAACTGATAATAGTAGTCATTTATAAAACTTCCAATCGTGTTGAAGAGTAAAGTGTTATGTGAACACACTGAAGTTGTTTAAAAGCATGCTATTTAATTTGTCTTCAGAAATTCCCATGAGTCCCTCCACTCACTGGACCCAAAGGTTTTGCGCTGTGTTAGTGTCCACCCTTTACAGAAGCAGTACTTTGCAGTGGCAGAAAGCAGGTATGGCTGATTTTTAACTTTTCTAGTTTTCGGTTTTGTTTTAGCCCGTCTTTAAGGTGTTATTAAATGGACATTTTGATCTTGTCTGCAGGGTAGTGAGTATTTATGACAGCCGGTGCCTGAAGAAGAAAAAAAGCGAGGCAGTCTCCCAGCTGCACGGCCACTCTTTGAGCATATCCAGCGCTTATTTCTCCCCTATTACCGGGAACAGAGTTCTTACCTCCTGTATGGATGACAACATAAGGTGAAGCCAATACAGCACTTTGGCCAGTTGTTTTGTACTTATTGTAGCTTATTTTTTCAGTCCCAGCTCAATGTTTGCATGAACTTTTTTTTTTTTTTTTAACAGGATATATGACACATCTGCAATGACTACTAAATCTCCCTTGCTGACATCCATCAGGTAAATTGAACTTAAACCTGTAATTAAATTTCGGTTGTCATTTTAAGAACTGGCCAGAGACAATAGATGGAAAGACAGCCTATCATATATACGGCAATTTTTTTTTTTCCATTGACCAATGAGCACTGTCCCTGCCTAATAAAAAGTCCATCAATGGAAAAAATAAAAAGGATCAGTCATTGTTTACAGACGTCATGCTGCCTTAAAAACAGTATAACCTGAACATAATTACGTCTCTTCTCCATCTATGTTTGCAGACATGACATGCACACAGGCCGCTGGTTGACCAAACTATCAGCAGTTTGGGACCCCAAACAGGAAGACTGCTTTGTGGTGGGGAGCATGATGAAGCCCCGGAGGGTGCGGGTGTTCCATGAAAGCGGCCAACCTCAGCATTCCTTCATGGACAACGAGAACCTTAGCACAGTGCTGTCCGTCACTGCTTTCCACCCCACAAGGAATGCCTTGCTGGGCGGCAATGCATCAGGGCGCCTGCACATCTTTTCCAGCTAAAGTAAAGACCAAAGTGTTGGACCAGCTGGCTTCAGCAGGGTAGGAAGAACAAGTAGAAAATTTGGTCATAGTCAGGGTGTGCAACCCCAACAATGCAGAGGGAGTCTTCACTTTTGTCACCACTTTACAAGAGTGACAATATAGTCCCTTGCTTTCTTCCAGTCACTTTCTCCATAGAACATTTCGCTCAGTAACATTCCTATAGTGTATTAAAATAACGTGTCTCAAGTCACTAGTCATGTTCATAGAGATGTTGCACTTAGAGTTACAGTACAAACATTCAATATGCTGTGAGGTAACACAGTATCGGTAACAAAGCAGCAGAATTGTCTTCACTTGCCACAGAAACCCCTGCACTTATTCCTACTTTGGGTAGGTAGTGTCAGAGTGTAGGTGTATTTTACTGTCCAGCTGTGAAAAAATGTTCACACCTTTTTGTATTTTTTTTTTCATGTTTTCCTCTTTTACAATATTGCATCAGTGTGTTCTGGCTGTATTTGTATGTCAAAGTCTGGCCATTCTCCGGTTCATAGTTACATTCCTTCCTCATTCTGGTGTTATGTTGTTTACTTAGTTGCTGACACATGATTGACTGATGAGATCTTTGCATTCATGAGCGCCAGTACCTACTAAAGTACTGTAATCTTGTGAAATTTAAGCACAAATGCAAAACATAACTGACCCTAAGTCTACAATTTGTGGCTATGTTGGTATCAGCTTTGCACAAAAGGACACTGCACTCTTCCATTCTGTGCTTTTTAAGCTGTTTACATGACTGAGTGAGTTGAACCAACATCTGGACTTAAGGATGATTCTGTGTTTTGAAGCCACTCCTGTGCAAATTTGAGTTTGTTGTCTTGCTGCAAATGAGTTTTCTTGCAGATGGCACCAGATAGTCCTGAGATTTGCCTGTTTTTTTTTTTTTCTGTTTTTTTCCACTGCATTCCTTTTACTGTGTCTCTACATGCTGTCAGGCGAGTTGCAAAGAATCACAATGCAGCTACTGCCAGCCTTCATGTTGTTTCCTCTCATGTGCAGTGCCTGTACAGTGGCCAAAAAAGCTCAGCTCTGATCCAGCTTTGGCAGATTTAGGGATCTGCTTTATTTGTTCTTCCTGCCTTACTTTACTCTTCTGGGGCATTAAGTGCCTTGAAAGCCTTGATCTTGACATTCCCTGGTTCAAACTTTTCAGTTCCCTTGTATTGGATTTGTCATGTTTGCTATGTTGCCATTTCTTTTACCAGGATACTGACTGTGGTTACTGGACAACTGAGACAGAGGTGAATGTAATGTTACTAATTGATCAACTTATGTGGTTTTGTATCAGCTACTTTATTTTATGCGTCACCATAATTTAGGTCAGTGTGTGCAGACTTCTCAGTTTGAGATGAGAAGTTTTCTGTTAATTTTTCCAAAACAGTACTAATTAAATCCCATGCTGTTCATAGTAAGTTAAACTGCAAGGATTTGAAAATGTTCTCCAAATGTCATGTAGAACCCAGGCAATTTCTACAGTATGTTTAGTTTGTGTTGTTTGTGGCACAGTGGAAAGGCCGAGGTGTTTGGGTTGGGAAAAGTGCCCGTTGAAAAGTTGTGTTCATTTTTATTTTTTTATTAGTATTGTTTTGTTTTTGTGCCTACTGAAGCAAACAGAATAAATAGATATTTTAATATTAAACATTCTGAGTGTGAATGGTGTTCATCTCAGCAGCAGTAGTGTCGCAGTCACCTGAAGATGGCAGTAGTGTCACATAAAAGAATCGCAAGTGTTAGGATTGACTACACTAAAAAAAAAAAAGGATTTTGATTTCACTTTTGACTGTTTTATTAAGCTTAATACCCTTGTTTGCTTCTTCTGTGAATCCATAATTGAATTTGTAGCCAGACTAGCTGCCACATGTCAAGAATAGATAATATTTATTCGTAAATAGATTACACCAGTCTTCAGTCAGTGATTGGAATTAAGCAGTCTTGTTTGGAGGTAATAAATGCAGAACACATGCTTACAGAGACATTTCCATGTGCAGGGCCATGGTACAGGAAGGAAGCTTACAGTAAGACCATGTCTGAGGCCTTATTCCTGTTTACATGATTCAGTTAAATGAAAACAAGAGTTGCCTGTCAGTGGAACTGTCACCTCTCTTTGTCACTTTGCCAGTTCAAGTCATCTGAAACAGATTTAGGCAATTAAAAATAACATCAGTGTATTGAACTGCATTGCACAAAGAAAGGTTCAGGTAGTTGAAAATGCTACTTCTGCTGTTTTAAATTGGCGAAAAAAATAGATCTGTTCCACTTCAATTGTCATGAAACTTGGGTGTACTGTCAGAGGTGTTCAGTTCTTTTACACAGACTTTGACAAGAAAACTTTCATCTAATCAGTTTCTATAAAATCAGTCAAGCAAACAAGAATTACAGGAACTTTTTCTGACAATAGATATTCTGGAGAAGTTTCTTTGTACCACAGAGCATTATCTAGCATTGTGGGTAGTCAGGAACAGTGGCCACGGCTCCTCTCACACATGCATCTACAGGCTGATCTACCTTCCGAGAGGATTTAAAAGACAATTTGTACGTCTAGGAGACACAGACGGACATTAGTTTGCAGTTCATGGTGGTTAATATTCATTACATAATCTGTAATGTTTATTGCTCAGATTATGTTGTAATTTTTTTTTTCATACACATTAACAGAAAAGTAGCTAAAAAAAAAAAAAGCAAAATCTCTGCCTTGACTGGCCGTTTTTTTTCCCCCCATACATGATCAAACATGATCACAACCAAACCAAACATCAATCAAAAACCCCTGAGCACCATCTGAATTAAAGCAAAAATATAAGTAAATTATCAAGTCTGAAAGCCAACCCCGAAACATGAGTGCTTTTGTTTATTAAATATAAATATATCAGTCAATATTTCAGTTACTCATCCAACTTCAAACTAAAACAAAAACAAACCAAAACTGAGGGTTAGTAATACTTGTGTTGATTTTTATCATGTGCAAAGATAAAACTGGCGTTTAAAGCTGGATATTTAACACTACAGGGACTGTCGAAGTGATGCATTTTGCGTTGACTTCCAACCTGTGGATTTCTTTTATTGTAGGAAAGATTTGAATATGAATACAGTAACTTTTCAAACTATTTATAGGCACCTGCGTAACCTAAATCCATCAGCCAATCACCATCCTAAACCATTCCTCCCTTTGCATAAATAATACATCCATTCGTTTAGATATAGTGTTGTATAATCGCTGCGTACAGCACATACATGTACATATAACCTAAACAACCGCCTTTAGGCTTGAAGAGAGGACAAATACTTAACCGTCAAAACTGACTTTATGGTTTGAAATAACTCTGTTGCTCTGGGCTGTAAAGACACACTGTAGGCTAACCTGTGAAATATCATAATAAGGCTGGAGAAGGACAGCAGACTGTTAGTTTCCATCTGTTGACGCAGACAGACGTATGAGACAACAGAGGTTTCTTTGGTAGGCGTGATGATGAAGATTGCAGTAGGACGTAAACATGACTTATCTTAGGCTCTCCTGTAAGTGAGTGCAGGGCTGAAATCCGTATATTCACTGTAAAAACAAAGATGCTTCAAGTACATTAAAAGTCACTGTGAGGAAATCTCAATGTGTTACCAAGACAGCAGTTTGTACAAAAATGGAAACATGATCTAAATAGCCTTTACAGAGAAATGCAGAAATTCGAACACAGCAGGGCTAAATAAAGTTAAATGACCTTCACTCAACATGGGCTCTTGAACTAAAACCAAACTCTTAACTATATACTGAGGGGAAAATAACACTAATGCTGCACTTTACAAAGGAAAAACAAGGTCAAATTTCCCTTCACGGAAAGGTCTGTGGTTGTTTTTATATTAACAGTATTGCACATCAAGATGAACTCCTTCTACAGATTGTTGGGAGTCAAAGATCTAACCAAACACTTGTCTATTACTACAGTGCTAGCTCACATAGTCCCATCACCTTTACATCTACTGTAAAAGTAACTACGGCAAAGTGACAACTGTTCCTCACACACAGAAGTTGATTGTAGTTATTAGCGTTATTTGGCTGCTATTTAATTAAAAATGAAACCTATAACCTCCATTACTTACTTATATCCTTACGAAGGCTTAATTTATAGTCGTCGGACGGTAAAACTTTGTTAGTCCTCTAGTGTCTGGACAAAAAAAAAAAAAAAAAAAAAATGGCCATGTGAGCACACTTAACAGATGTCTGACCACGAACAATGTCACACTTACTACAAAAATATTCATTCGAGCCTGCTGACAGGGCAGCACCCACATCACAGCTGTTTCAAATAGCTACTGCAGCTAAGTTTTAGTTTAAATTCCGTACGCGAGATGTGGCGTTTGTGTAGCACATCTGGAGAATTCAGGAAGGTGTGTAAAGTGTATTTGTATCTGCCTAAGAATTGTATAAAACGAGCGATAACATTCCAGACTCAGAACTCATCTACATTCAATAAGTGCTGCTTATTTTTCCATTTCACACTTTCTCTAACTAACCCCCCCCCTTGACACTGGTCCATCTCAAAACAGCGACCACGGCGACTTCTAATTATCGTGAACGTTGTTGCCGTCGACGTACAACTTGACGAGCTAGACTGGCCCCCATCTTTTCTTCTCTCAAAACTTTACTCAAACTTTCAGGTCTTGCAACGCGCACCCCAACACTTCAGGTCGTTCCGTCTTACAGTAATGTTACAACATATAAATTAATACAAAAATAAAGGCAACTATTATCTGTGGTTGAATAAGTGAGTGTCTGTCAGACCTGGTTCAGCGTTTAAATTAAACCCTGTCACCGTGACTTTGTGTAAAAATAAAATACCTTGAGATGACCTGAATTTCTAAAGTAAAATGTGATTTCCTTTCCTCGTAGTGATGGTCAAACATAATAAACAAGGCTCTTCAGGGGACGGTCCGTGGCTTGTGACAGAACCTCCTTCCTGGGAGAAGCTCGTATTAGGAACAGGGCTGTCATCTTTTTTTCCTTTTCCCTCCTCATTTCCTGACCTGTTTGTTGTACGTGTCCCATTTCCATCAGCGGAAGCCTGTGTTGAGTCATTTAGTCTCTTCTTCAGTTTTTCACTTGGCCTCACTTACTGACGAGGAAACCTCCCATCCATCGTAACTTACAGGCAAACCAGCGCCGCAGAGGGCAGAAGTATTCAAAGTGGAACTGCTGGAATTCGGGCGTCTTGCGGATGTCTCTCAGGAAGGCAATGTCCAGGTCTGATTCTGTCAGCATGATGAGGAGCAGCAGCAGGGCGAACAGCAGTCCGATGGTGACCAGGAACAGACGCAACACGCTCAGGATGAACTTGTTGAGCTCCTCTACGTCGCTGGGTGGTGACGGCCGGCTCCGGACCATACGCAATGCTCTCCTGCCAGGCCCAAACTCAGCCGCCTGCCCCTCCTTCGACGTCCCCGCCTCTGAATCCTTCTCCTCGTCGATGCTGCAGGGAGCGCCGTTGAGGTGACGGGCCAAAGGTTCCATCCCGTGTTCTGCCACTGGTGTAGGCAGCACGCTGTCTGAGGGGCTGTAGGCCTCGTCGGAGATGACTGCTGACGTGCTCGCCTCGCTGCCATCCACCATCTGGCCTCGAGAAGACATGAAGGAGTCGCCATGGGAGACGGAGCGCACAGGCGTCGAGTGGGCACTGTCTCGAAGAGACTCCAACCCTGAAAACACACAGCAGAGGACGGCGGTTCATCAGGAAGATGCATTATTCAGTAACTGGGAGGTATCATGGGGCTCCCTGCTGCATTTAAAGAGAGATCCTGACATGACTTCATGTTTTGTAACTTTCATCTCAGAAGGGAAAAAAGTTTGGTTTTGAACTACAAAAAAAAAATCTGGTAACATTTTAAAAAATAAAAAGTATTTTGTGTAAACACTGTGATAAACACAATCCAGGCTCAGTCTCTTCACTCCCACACAGGTACAGTACCTGGAACGCAGACCAAACTGTACTAAAGTGTTATCACGTTGATGCAGTCTCTGCACAGACTGCTGTTCACTAAAAATAAACTGCAAATGGCATTCAAAAATCATCCAATAGTTAGTTTTTATTGATCACTCATACAAAGTGCGGTGAAGAGAAAACTTTGAAACCCAATTAATCAGGAAAAAATACACATGTACCTGAAAAAGTCTGTAGAAGCAGATGAAGCTGCTCTAACTGGGTTTAAAGTACAGACTAGCTTTATATATTGTAACATCCTGCACATTGAGATTTAGTGTCAGTAAACCATGAAAAAAAATCTCTTGAAATGTTTGGTTTTTCTCTATTATTGCAATTCACAGCATTATTATTCACAATACTAATAATTTTCTATTCTATTTTCTGTTCTGCAAACAGAAATGAAGACAGTTCTTATTAAAAGTAACTACCGAGTTGTTTGCACACACTGATGTGGTAACAATGGAAGTAACAGCTGCATAGTTTTGTGATGAAAAATGACAAATGTAGTTGGCATAAGCACAATTTTTAATGTATGACCAGTTAGTGATTCCTAAGATTATTGCTTACCATCAGCCTTGTAGCGAGTTGCAGTATACATCAAATAGAAGACTTAAGATGCTCATCATGTCTGCTAGTCACTGATGCAAATCTAAGTATATAAAATGTGTCCCTTAAAGCCCTTAATAGAGGAAGTCTGAAGGGAAATTATGTTCATCAGTTCATCATTAATTAGTTCTGAAGCTAAAATTCCCTCAGCCTCTTTCGCGCCTTGCATTGAGGGCTGCCAGTATATTCAGGTACACTGAGCTCTGCTGAACCGTGCCCACATTTCTGATTCTCACACAAACAGAAGGGAAGTCTGATCTGTTTTTGACAGCGAGCTGTGCTAACTGATCCCCTCCTCCCATCATGCAGTCATGCCTGAACGAAACACTTCCAAGTGGCAAATGTAACCCTAAATAAACATGAAACACAAGAACACACTCTCTAAGAACTCAGCTCAGGCATTACTGTTTCATAGCTGACTTTAAAACTTTGATAACCAGCAGACTTCAACGTCTTCCCACAATGATGTGATGTTTATTTGAGTTTTGATATCAGAGAATCATGCACGTATTTCTTCGTCCAGCTTGAAAACTGTCTTCTCTATTCAAGTGTGGTGTCCACTGTACCACCAAAAATCCAGCACTCCATAATCCCATACGACAAAACCAGCCTTGGGTTTTACCTGCACGGCCAGCTGGTGGGCTGCAGCCATGGAAGTGAGGAGGGACAGCTAGCCTGGAAGGAGTCCTGGAGCTTTGTCCAGACCCAGGACTGGAACCTGAGGTGGAAGATCCCCCAGGGAGGGCAGGGAAGAGCGGTAGGACCCCCAGAGCCTTACCCAAGAGCCTGGGTCCCAGAGACAGCACACGCACCTTGACATCCCGGTAGCAATGGTTGATCATACGCAGGTGAACGTTCACCTTGGTCTGGATCCGGATCAGACACTTCACCATGATTCAGCAACAGCAAAATACACCCGTTTAACCTTGGCCTTACACACACTTTTCCTGTTCTTCTTGTTCTTTTTTTTTTTTCTTCTTCAAACTCCGCTTTCTTCCGACTTTCTTCGTTCTGTCTCCCTGCTGTTTGTCTTTGTCTCCGACTGCGGCTGGCTTGCTAAGCAGCAATCCCGTCTCCGCAAGCGAGCTCCCACACGCTGGCAGTCGGGCTGACAGCCGTAGATGAACAGAAAGACAGTCAGAGAGTGAAAGACAAGGCCTGGGAATGTGGTCCACTTGTGTCACAGTTCACCTCAACCCTCCCCTGCTGAGGACTGTGACACACACAGCATGGCCTCTGACAGCAGGAGCTATTTTCAGGCAGAGATATTATTACCAGTGGAAATACCAGCGGAGACAGAGCAACAGGACAAAACACAGGGGGTTTGTTTCACTGTTGCCACACCAGGGTGCCATGTCAGAGTCTGATCTTTGTTTCTGTGACAAGAGGGAGGCCAGTTTGACAAAAGACTGTTTTGTTGTTGTTGTTGTCGTGGTTGGAGTTGTGAACAGACTGCGCTATAAGTTTATTAGTTTGATCGAGGCAGATCAACTCGGAGCAAACTTACTCTCAGTGGCAGCATTGGCAAAAGGTTAATAGCCTGTTGGAGGAAACAGGGGACAGTAAGTGCCCTTTATAAACTGACAGGATGACTTTCTCATGTCAAAATAATGCCCGAGGCCAGCGGCTGATGGGCGCTCTTCACTGTGAGTGTGTGTCTTCCAGAGAACAGACATCCGAGAGAGAAAGAGCGAAATATCACACAAATACAGAGAGAGTGACTGACACTTAGAAGTGGGGGGCTGTTGACATGAAAAGGCACTTACTGAAGGCTGCCTTTTTCATACAGTACGTGTGCAAGTGTATTAAAAATGCGTGAGAGCATTAAAAAACAAAAAGGACCCCAGAAATCTGGTGATGTGTGATCCATGGCAGACATACAGTGATTTCTAAGCCCAGGGCAGTGATACACAGGACTGTACTGATATGTGTGTGTATGTGATGTCGTGGCTCAGCTAATCTAAAAAATGTAAACTATGATTTGATTT